TCACAAGTTGTTACATCAAACCTATCATAGTTGTCAATAACAATCATAAATATGTTAAATAAAGCAACTACAGAGATACCAACATGTCAAGAAAAATGGACGTTATACTTTGGAGACATTTCCACTAAATTGGTAGTTTATATATGGTTATATATTTAAATGTACTAAAGTATTATTCACATTATATTGGCAACAAACTCTTTTATTCAAAATGAAAATAGTTAATTCTAAAATGTGCTCATTTTGTGAATGTCAAGAAGAATCACTGATACATTTATTTTGGGAATGCAACAAAATTCAGCCAATATTTCAGTTTCTGAAAGAAAATATACCTAACTTTGATACCTCTTTTAATTGTAAATCTTATATTCTAGACTGTGAACGTAAAGATTATAGATATCTTGTTTTTAGAATTAAAACGATATATACATTTGTCTTAGCGAAAAAAAATTGTTACCTACTTGTAATGGTTTTAAAAATAGCTAGAAATTAGCTTGGAATATTTATAAAAATATGAATTTGACAAAAGAAGAAATCAATAGATTGGCAATTGTTAAATCCCTTATTGTATAACTGATATAGCTACATCAAATTTCATAAATCCACTAATGATTTAGAAACTGAAAAAGGTAGATACCAGAATATTTTAAGAGAACAAAGGATATGTAAATTATGTCACGAAGCAATTGGAAATGAATATCATTTTGCTTTAGTTTGTAAAAAGTTGTCTTTGATAAGAGAAAAATACATTGACAAAAAATTCTTTAATAATCCTAATAGTCATAAATTTAATGTTCTAATGTGCTGTCGTTCTGATAATGTTATAACAAATTTAGCTATGTATGCATATTATGCATTCAAAGAGAGAAATGATATATTAAGTAATACAGATACTGACAGTTAGAAATCATTAGGATATACTTACTATATTGTTAAGATCATATTCTCGGAATCATTTTGTATGTTATAACACAGATACTTAAATTTGAAATTATTATTATAAAATATTTGAGAATATGCTTATAATATCATGAATGTTACTTTTAGGTATTGATTAGTTTGTTGTTTTCAATTTTGAAACTTCAGTGTTGAATACGTTTATACAGTGATGTGATAAATGGATTTACTTTTCATTTCGGGCAATGCTGTGCAAAGCTTAAGACTGATCAAAACACTATTGCCTTTATTGTTAAGGTTATAGTATGTTTTTTTTTTATTTTTGCAAAGAATAGCCATAAGTGAAGATCTTATGTTTTGTTTTTCGTTAAGATCGACACGGACTTTGGTAAATTATTCAACAATAGTTCTGTGTGTTTTAATATAAACATTATTAGGATTTACATCGATCTGTACTGACACCAGTCAAGAAATTATATCTTAATGTATATATTTTGTAATGGGCCGGTGACCAATAACAATAAATAAATTGTCATTGTCATATAAAAGAGAACAACTTCAACGCATGCAAGATATTTATTTCAGATGTTATTTTCGCTGTTCTTTCTTCCTTTTATAAAGTAAATAAATTATATAATTATTAATTTTATAAATTACGTGTATATGTGTTAACAGTTAATCATTATGCAATGTGATACAATATCGTGTATATGATTTAATTGATATGTATATGTATGTTGATATATTTGTATATGACTTGATTGATATATTCATTATGATTGAATTGTATATGCAATACAGGTATGATGGGGAAGGTTCTGTTCATGATTTTGAAATTATAATGATGATACAAAAACAAGAAGTTTAATACTGTAGATTTATATTATTCATTATGTGTGCTATAGCTTATATTCAATTTGTACAATTTTTTGCAAATTCACACGAGGTAGCTGTTAAGAGATGTAGTTGGATAATTATATTAAACCTTTTGTAATTTAATGTTTGTACTTGACTGATACTATAGCGTGATTCATTTATGAAAGTATTTAGATAATGATGGTGTTAATATGGTACAGATATAACACGGTCAACACGGTATGTTTTACAATGTGAAATATTAAAAATAAATCACAATGAAAAATGTATAAGAAATTGCACCGTGTTTAAAATAATTACCTTCAAAGATAAGTCTGCATTCGAAAGCAATTTGTTTTAACATAAATATGTGGTATTGATGGCATGAAATATATAAACTTTTGTTTTTATGTTTATTGCACATTTTCCCTTATTTATGCAACGTTCGTAGTCTCTGTGTAAAACGGTTGAGGCTCATTTCAATTTAGGTTACAGTTCTACCATTTAAAAAAACACATCATGGTTTTGCATATCGTAATCAATACATAATTTCCATTTAAAGATAATATCATTATTTGTTAGATCATTATATCTCAATTTATATTAATAAGTAATAACCGGAGATATATAAAAATATAAAATAACAACCGTTTATCACCGAAACATTCTGATGAAAATAATCAGCATTCTGTCTTTCCAAGTTGATACATCTACAACCAACAATCGATTTTACAATTATTTAACATTTGGTGTTTTCGTCTTACTTGCAACGTTTGTTTCAGGAAGAAATTTTATATATCTGTTCTACATGTATATCTGAGACCTTGTGTTATCCCCATATTTCACACCCATAGTTTATATTATAAGCAATCATGGAATCAAAAAAAACTTACTGTATAAGTAATTATTTCTGTGGGCTAAATATTCTGCGATCTTTGTCAAAATAAAGGGTTTTAAATTTCTAGGTATCCTTTTCCTGATGTGTCATCATTCCCGCATTGTTGCGTTTTCTTTCTGTGTTTTCATGAAGATATCTGTAAAATTGACCGTAAAAAACAGACAACATTTCAATCAAGATTTGTTGATGTTACATTACTTCCGGTTAAAAAATGCAGCCGTCTGATGATGATTTAATTTCAAATACAGCTAACGATAAATATCAAATAATGAAACTAGAAAAAAACAGAACTTGCATTGCACGTTAAGGTAAAGATTTCGGAGCTTGGGTTAATGCAACCACCAGAAGATAGTGAAACTCCATGATATGTAGATTATTTTGTGACAATATTTTGCTATTTAAGATAAAACTAGATCGGCAATTCCAAGCTGTCTAGTATTTTTATGTTCGAAAAACAAACCAAAAAAACGTGTTATGGTCAATCAAATCAAATCGTTTGTAAATTAACATTTTCAGTGCAATATCTATAAGTAAATGTTTACATTTAAATATTGATACATTATATAGAGATTACTTATAAAAGAAATGCTAGTAAATATTAAGTGCAAACTTTAATATGCTATATTTCCTGCTTCACTGTAAATTATTATACACGTTCCCTTCACAACACTATGGTTACGACATTATCAATACAATTTAATTCTGTTCGTGAAAAACACACCTGTGTTTATGTGGGCAAATGTATTATAGTATTATATATTTAATAATTTCACAGGAATGATATATACAGTCAAAATAAAATGGTGAAATAGGTTTTGTGAAAAAAAAGAAATGGTATTTTTAAAGGCTTACACGCGACAAAAAACATACATGTAACATCTTCTGTTTTAAGCAAGCATTATTGTTTAAATGTTATTACCAAAGTTATGTATCTGTGATATCTCCTCAACTTGATTCCTCACATGCACATATAAGTTTTTTATCTGTTTGCCAAACCTGCTTATATTATCATGTCTAGCAATAAACCCAAATTTTTGCAAGTAGAAGACGTGATAATTAGATAATATCTTAAATGATAAATATGAATTATTAATAATGTAAAATTATTTTTTGTTATAATAAGTATGTAAAAATGATTATACAAATCAATTGACAATTATAAAAGGATTACGTATACATATACCCCCTGTACAAAATTTAAAAATTATCTTGAGAAACTCGACCAACAGTTAGATCGCACGGCTGAAGTTGAACAGTTCTAGAAACTAACAAAAGCCATGATCTGGCTGAGCTACGGTGGCATAGAGGGGACATCAGAAATATTTTGTCTACATGTGCGCACGCATTCTTTGTAATTGCTCATGCGTATAGTGTTTAAACATGTTTTCGTTTTATATCTTATACAACAGTTGCTTATCTTGATAGAACTTGTTCAACCCTTTTGTACTTTATTAAAAATGTTATATGAAAATAATGTTCTTAAATTGTATTCAAAGAACAATAAGATTTTTTTAAACTTTAATGCAATAGCTTCTACGTGTGCACGCGATATTTACTACGTGCGCACGCGATAGTTACTACGTGCGTACGCTATAGCCCCTACGTTGGTCAGTTATTACGTGCGCACGTTATTAGCTTTTGCATACGCATGTGGTTGTTATCGCGTGCACACGTAGACGCTATCACGTGCATACGTAGACGCTAACGCGTGTACTCGTGGTGGATAAAATATTTCCGATGTCCCCTTTTATGCCACCATACTAAGCAGTGGGCGTCATATTTCACAAATTTGTTCCTAGTATTATATATTAACTTATTTTATTGAATATTTGAATGGCAAATTTTCACGTTTTTTGTTTAAAACATTTTATTTCAAAAAGCGTTAGACGGCACCTTTTCATTTTCTGTCATTGAAGCTTAGTTAATAGTTTTCGAACATTCTCATTTAAGAGCAACACGATATATATAAATAAAGACTATTTATAAAATAATCATGCTCCAATAAACTATTTTGCCCGTTTCTCCACATGAATCGAGTAGTAAGATCGATCTGTTAGAACGATTATTTACAACATAATCATTATACGCTCTGATTAAAGTATATCAGTTTATTAAGATTCTTTTTTTGTTTGCTTTTTTCTTCTTCTTCTTATTTTAGAAGTATTTACAAACATCTCCATTTTGTATATTGTAAACTATAAATAAATATATCAATGTTTTCTTCTATTATTATTAATAAATGATTCAACTTAGAATATTTATGTAAGTAAATCTAACAATTGAATTGATGCTTCTTGTTCAACAAATGATTAAACAAATAAAACAAATAGTTCATTGATTAATGTAGGTTTTATACAGCACTACGATTATATTCATGATTACACTGACGATTAATACCAGCATAGACACCGCCAGCATATACACCGCCAGCATAGACACCACCAGTATAAACACCGCCAACGCCAGCATTGACACCACCAGTATAAACACCGCCAACGCCAGCATAGCTACCGCCAGTATAGACACCGCTAACGCCCGTATAGACACCGCAAGTATAAACACCGCCAACGTCAGCATAGACACCGCCAGCATAGACACCGCTAGCATAGACACCGCCAACGCCAGCATAGACACCGCCAACGCCAGCATAGACACCGCCAGCATAGACACCGCCAGCATAGACACCGCCAACGCCAGCATAGACAACGCCAGCATAGACACCGCCAACGCCAGCATAGACACCGCCAGTATAAACACCGCCAACGCCAGCATAGACACCGCCCGTATAGACACCGCCAGCATAGACACCGCCAACGCCAACATAGACACCGCCAGCACAGACACCGCCAGTATAGACACCGCCAACGCCAGCATAGACACCGCCAGTGTAGACACCGCCAGCATAGACACCGCCAACGCCAGCATAGACACCGCCAGCATAAACACCGCCAACGCCAGCATAGACAACGCCAGCATAGACACCGCCAGCAAGAGTGATAGATTGTGCCCACTGTTATATCATGTTTATATTGTATAAAACTTGTTTAAACCCCATAGTTTGAAACGAAAACTTGATATTTGTTCAATTGGTTAGTTTCATTTAAATAATATTTGTTTAGAAACTAACATATTTCATGTAAACATTGGCTTACAAATGATAGAGTGACAATCAGTTTATAAAAAGCAGTTTAGTAAAAGCTAAAAGTATCGCCTGATAACAGTGCAAATACACATTTGTATGCACACCTTATTACAGATATAGTTAAAATAGACACGAGGTTTTGAGAAACCCGATGTGGAAATTACTGCTTATGAAAATCAAAGTTGAAAAAATGCACAAATAGTGGTTTTTTTCTTTGATTTTTTTTGTTTTTGCTGTTTTTTTTTTCAATTTAAATTATGGTTTCAATCAAATGATTTACTTTTACAGTGTGGCCATACCACGTGACATTGACGTCATTTTCGGCATCATTTCCAAGACAAATGTTGCTCGATTCGGAAAAGAATATAGCCGTAAATATTTTATTTCTGTACCAATTTCTTTGGGATATGCACCAGTCTACGGGGAAAAATATAAGCTTTCCACAGAATATTGGATCTTCGTCAGTTTATAAGCCGTTTTATCAAACACTTTGTATAACCTTGGAAGTTGCTTGTATTAGAGCGGGCTTCAGTTGCAAGCTATTTCGTTTTCTGGCGTTATCTGGTCTACGTCATGATTAAAAAGTTAGGTTTACATCAACCGGGAGTACGGAAGGCAAAACTCTACCTAAATATGTTCATATTTTTATTATGAATGACATAAATCTTAAATTTTTCTTCAATTGTCAATTCTGGCACCAGTTCCAAGTCGAAAAAAAGGACTACAGTTTAAAGCAGATTTTAGAATCCGTTGCAAATGCAAAGCAACATGCCTACCGTTCTCTTCCTACAATTAAGTTTTTCATTGTTGATCTTTCACAGAGAGATGGTGAAAAAACTGATTGTTCCTAAAAAGCAATAACACTTACTTGTATCGCAAAAGTGCACGTCAAATCACGTAGATTTAGTCCTGTCGGAAAATAATATTTTGGTTTCGTTTTGAAGATGTTTAAAGTATTGCTCATTTCATCCTATGTAGTAAAATGTGTTTATTCTATTTCACAATGGCGAAATTGATAAGAAATATATGTGCTCTCAGTGAGAGAAAGAGTTAAAATAAAATAAAAAAAACACTTTTGTATGCTATGGAAAGGGTTACACTTTAACGCGAGTGTTGTAAAGCTTAAGGTATTTTTTCAGTTTATTTTTGTAAAGAGTAACTGACAAACACTGACACTCGTGAATGTTCTTCTGTCTTCAAAAGAGAGACTTTTGAAAGGTATATATTTTTTCTGGAATTGTTGTATAATAAATTTCTAGAGCTTGATAAACGAAATCACAATTTGAACTTGGAACTTTGCCGTGTAAATCTGATAGTATTGTTACTTAGTTGCATTACTTGTGATTCTCTATTTATAAAAAAAAGACCCAAAATAGCCATGAATTACAAGAACGAGAATGGACGCCATGTGGAGTAAACAAAGTAGAAAATAGTAAACAGATAAATGATTTCACAAACCAACAGCCATCGATCACAGTCAAATTTCTTGAAACAAAACATTCAAAATGACGGAAATAACAATGATTATCAATAATTATATAAATATTTACATTAACATCTGTAATAGCAACATCGGCAAGATTTATGACTGGGGTCCATATGCCACTGATGCGTCCATTGAATAATTAATAGCTAACATAAGCTTAGTAAAATTACGATTACATTTGAAGAGTATATTCAATTTTTATCCTTCAACTGTCAAATGACTTACTTCTTTATTTACATATCAGATAATTCACTTATTTAGTATATGCGTCATGTTTATCATGTTTTAATTTTAATGTGTGGTCCTTTTTTGTCCCCCGCCTTTTCGAAGAAAAAAGGGGGATATAGAAATAGGCTCCGTCCGTCTGTCCGTCCGTCCGTCTGTCCGTCCGTCCGTCCGTCCGTCACACTTTCGTGTCCGGTCCATAACTTTGTCATTTATGAAAGGAATTTGAAATAACTTGGCACAAATGTTTATTATAATAAGACGATGTGTCATGTGCAACAACCAGACCCCTACCTCCAGGGTCAAGGTCGCACTTGCTCATTCAAGGTCAACATTGCCTATTTGAGGGTATATGTCGTGTCCGGTCCATCACTTTCTTATCTATGAAGGGATTTTGTAAATACTTGCCATAATTGTTCACAATAATCAGACGATGTGTCATGCGCAAAAACCAGTCACCTACCTTCAAGGTCAAGGTCACACTTGGAGGTCAAATATTAACATAGTCTGTTACAGGATATATTTCGTGTCCGGTCCATAACTTTGTCATTTATCAAAGGAATTTGAAATAACTTGGCACAATTGTTTGTTATAATAAGAGGATGTGTCATGCGCAACAACCAGATCCGTACCTTCAGGGTCAAGGTCGTACTTGCTCATTCAAGGTTAACATTGTCTATTTGAGGGTATATGTCGTGTCCGGTCCATAACTTTCTTATCTATGAAGGGATTTTGTAAATACTTGCCATAATTGTTCACAATAATCAGACGATGTGTCATGCGCAAAAAAACGGTCACCTACCTCTAAGGTCAAGGTCACACTTGGAGGTCAAATACTTACATAGTCTGTTACAGGGTATATTTTGTGTCCGGTCCATAACTTTTTCATAGATCCAAGGATTTTGAAAATACTATGCACAAAAGTCACTATAATAAGAGGATGTGTCATGCGCAACACCTGCATCCCTACCTCCAAGGTCAAGGTCACACTTAGAGGTCAAAAATTAACATAGTCTGTTATAGGGTATATTTTGTGTCAAATCTAGAACTTCTTCATAGTTCAAGGGATTTTAAAATAACTTGGCACAAATAGTCACCATAATAAGACAATATGTAAGGTACAACACCTGCACCCCTACATCCAAGGTCAAGGTCACACTTAGAGGTCAAAGGTTAACAGAGTCTGTTATTTGGTATATTTTTTGTCCCGTCCATTACTTCTTCATAGATTAAGGGATTTTGAAAATACTTGGGACAAATAGTCACAATGATTAGATGATATGTCATGCGTAACATCTGTGTCCCTACCTCCAAGGTCAAGGTCACACTTATAGATCAAAGATTTACATAGTCTGTTATTATAAGGGTATATTTTGTGTCCAATCTATAACTTCTTCATAGTTCAAGGGATTTTGAAAATACTTGGCACAAATAGTCTCAATAATAAGACGTTATGTCATGCACAACACCTGCTGCCCTACCTCCAAGGTCAAGGTCACACTAAGAGGTCAAATCTTAACATGATAGATTTTTAAATTCCGTGTTTCATTTTATTTTTTTAACAAATTTATTGTTACATTTGCAGATCTAGCATTGATCATAATTTTGGAGTAAATGTCCTGAGATCCATTATAACCTCAATCTTTTGAAATAGCACAATTTTATGCTTCATATAAAATTTCCCGAGGCGGGGGACGTTGGTAACTCTGTTACAAATTCTTGTTAAATCTTAAAATGCTACAAAAAGCCTGTTGAGGACATCTGCAGCTCATGCCGTGTGCAATAATCCATGCATTTACAGTCAATGGCTACATCGATAAGAAATAGTCCCAAATAGCCCTATCGTTTTTATTCAGTTGAAAGAGACATTATTGTTAAAAAATTCTACGCGATTTAAATGTTTTCAAACCATAAATATTCCGTTCCCTTCCTCTCTTTACAATGTATATTGGTGAGCTCTCTGATAAAGCTGAGTTGACTGATATAATTAACTAGATTTGTCAGATATGCAGTTTATCAACAGAAGTAAATGCAATTACAAAATAGATAGTGTTTAAAAGTGTGTTTAATAGTGTTCTTAAGTGAACGAAGTTATATCCAGTTCACGAAAAACGGTTACCGTGGGTATGAAAACAGGATGTAAAAATATTTTTTATCAACGAGTGCCACTGTGTTAAAAAGCTGAATCTATCATACCAAAACATTGCTACAGGTTCTTTATATATATATGTGGTTATACGTATAAATAACTCTTTACAAAAGAAAAACCTTTGACTTTAAAATTGCCGCGTTGAGGCGTAACCCTTTTCACAGCATACAAATCGAAGTGATCCTGAATGTGCACGTTCATTGGACAGGCTAGCTAAGTCAATCCGAGCCTGCAACATTTTCAATTTTGCCGTTTTGGGCAATATTTAGGGTTTCTGTTTTCAATTCCACGTTTAGTATTGCTACATGACACAAATAGATAGATTTTTCATAATCATTACCGTGAAAGAACAATGATTAAAGAGCAAATCAATTTCTTTACAAATACAGACAACAAGTTTACGACTTTTAAAATCACTTATAGCGAAGCGAGTAAAAATCATTTAAATATTCATTTGTGTTTATGTAAATCGTATAGTAAATAAAATGTTTTTCATGGTTAACATAATTATAGAAAGAAAACGGTAGGCATGTTGCTTTGCATTTGCAAAAGATTCTAAAATCTGCTTTAAACTGTAGTCCTTTTTTTCGACTTGAAACTGGTGCCAGAATTGACAATTGAAGAAAAATTTAAGATTTATGTCATTCATAATAAAAATATGAACATATTTAGGTAGAGTCTTGCCTTCCGTACTCCCGGTTGATGTAAACCTAACTTTTTAATCATGACGTAGACCAGATAACGCCAGAAAACGAAATAGCTTGCAACTGAAGCCCGCTCTAATACAAGCAACTTCCAAGGTTATGCAAAGTGTTTGATAAAACGGCTTATAAACTGACGAAGATCCAATATTCTGTGGAAAGCTTATATTTTCCCCCGTAGACTGGTGCATATCCCAAAGAAATTGGTACAGAAATAAAATATTTACGGCTATTTTCTTTTCCGAATCGAGCAACATTTGTCTTGGAAAGGATGCCGAAAATGACGTCAATGTCACGTGGTATGGCCACACTGTTTTAAATCTTGGGCGAAATTCATGGATTATTTTCTTATTTATTGTACATAATTTTTAAACATGTCACTAGTCCTCTAATTGATTGAATATACATGTATGTTAGTTAATAATGTTAGGTAAAAAAAATAAGGATAACTTTCACCAAAAATAAGTACAAAACATATTTGAATAAAAGCAACATCGACGAAACAACATAAAACAGTTTATGGAATATTCGAAAAGCTTCAAAAATGTTGGGACTATAAATAAATTAAAAAACGACACCTGGAACAAATTGAAACTGTAGTGTACACTTTTGCGTTATAACACTTTAGAAACATATTGTCACGTTATTTAAAGCAAACAATAGAAAAGCAATAGCTCAAGAATTGTATGCATCAAATTTGAAATGAAATAAAAATTGAAAAGAAAACATTGTATGTAACAAAGGAGGCAATTTATTAATTGATCTTACTGGAATACTTTAATCGGACAACTGATTAGATGTTACTAGTATTACGCTTTTGAATATACCGCCAGCATAGACACCGCCAAAGCCAGCATAGACACCACCAGCATTGTCCGCTACATGTTATGTAGAATTGTCCGAAAGACTTATATATTGTGTTCTACATCACAAAAATAATACGCTGATTTTCCAGCTTAATTAGATTTAGCTTAATGCTTGTTGATATGTTTGCAGATAATTAATGCTATGTTGACAACATTGAAATTCAAGAAATGCAAAAGGAACTGCTTCATGCCAGCAGTAGTGCTGGCCATAAACACTATACTGATGAATTATATATAGAAAATATCATTTACTTAGCACAATCATATGTACCTCTTTATTGCCTCCGAATGTTCAAAGATATACATATTAGTTATATATACATAAAACAGTCAATGAAAAGAAACAACATTAAGCAAAGTTAAGCATTATAATTATACAAAAGGAACAATTTCAAAGCTTTAAAATTATGCAAATTATTGTTGATAGACATCCTGTAGTTCTAAATACATGCAAATGACTTGTAATATAGCATTTAACCAAAAGACTATATTTTTGCCTGAATAACTTTCCAAATAATGTCATCTAAATTCATTTTTTTCTATTAATGAATGCATTTTTTAAATAATTTACATTAAATAAAAAAGCATTAGTTACAATAATAAAAACTGAGTAGATTTGTGACTCATAATTTTGTGAGTCAGAGTGTGCGTAAAATATATTAATTCCAGATGTCTTTTTAGGACGAAATATGATCATATTTCATTTAAATTAGGTTTCAGTTATGTGTGGAAACTATTTATGTTATGTCAGTTATAGAAAGTCATGAAGGAATTGCTTATACATTATAAAAACGCAGTAAAATAGCTTTAACAATCGTAGTCATTCTAGTTGTGACTCTGAAATTTTCCCGGAAATTTCGCTTCAGACATGATTTATCATTAAACGAATTTCTTTATTTCGTAAAACATTCGCTCGTTTCATTTCTGCCATGAAGGGACATGAAGGGACATGATCATTATACATAAATAAAACAATTCTTTTTGACAAATGGATATGCCATTAAAAGACAAAATAAGCCCATTTGTTTTTATTACGAAATGTAAGCAAATATACATTTAACGTGTTCCTAAGATAGTGGTTCTCTTTTAAAATATTTCTAATGGTTCCTACATTAAAAGTTTACAAAGATGTTTTATCTTTGTTCATGGAATCAAATAAGTTTATTTCAGAACATTTTAATGTTCAAGTAATCAACTCTGTTCGTTATTTTTGATGATGTTTTTTCCTACTGTTTATTCATACATTTGTACGTTTATTGTTTGTTAATCTATATAACAGTGATGCATATTTACCTCTTGGAACAAAATGAATATAACAAACATTATTAGAATGATATTTCATATATGTCGGACGTTCAAATTGAAACATTTTGAAACCACATTTAAGGGAAAATAGTTAGTTTTGACAATGATAAATTGTTATTTTTAAGATATTTTTCATTTAGATACACTTTAAAAAAAGTCCGTGTATTTATTAATGTCGTAGAAAAGTTTCATTTAAATGGTCTATTCAAGAATGAATACTACTTAACTATGTGCTGGAATGTGAGAATGTAGCATTGTCCGTTACATGTTATGAAAAGACTTATAATGATTGTGTTTAAGTTTTTATTACTATCTATGGATTTCTCCTTTATATAACAATTTACTTGCTTAAAGTTGTGCCGTTAGTTTAGTGATGTTGACTTTAAGTTCCACGTGTTTATGGTAAGTAGATGGCTAATTTACATTATAGTAAATAATATAACATGTATGTCTTTCATTTTTTCAGATTTGTTCAGATAGTTCTTAACCATGTGTTATAAACTTAATCAATGTTGCTGAACAATGTATTCACCAGAGATATAATCAACTATGGTGAATACATGCATTGTATCATATATTATACATATTTATTTTGCAACTTCAAACATTGTATTTTGTGAATCTATGTCTAATTTAGGTTTTATGTATCATTCACCAATCAGTAACTAACTTCCGTTTTGCGTCTGCTGCCGATTGGTTTATGCAAGTGAAGGAACATTGATTTTTATACAGAAATAATTCAAATTTGCTTGGGCAAGTTCCTCTTTCAATATAAACTATACTCATAAATATCTAACACCCATGTTACAGAGAACCATCTATAATTGGTCGGCATGTCTAAGCCAAATTATGGAATAATCGAGGACAAAACTAATTTACAACCGCTTTCACCGACCAGCCATCGATGTGCCACCAATAAACAACCACTCAATAAATACCAACCACCGAAGGAATAAAGCTGAGAATTAAAATATGGATTTTCGTCGATTATTATCGGTTGTTGATAGAGATTAAATCTGTACCAATGGTGTAATACAATGGTTTAAATGTGTAAGTGGGAAATCGTTGTTCAAAATAACTAACCGGCTGCTGATCGGTTGCAGGAAGATTTGTTTGTTGATCAGACTGTTTTAAAATGTTTGTATAAGCGATTAACACTTTAACATCACCTATGGTCACATATATATAAGCACACATGCACGCACGCGCGCGCGCGCACGACGCACGCACATACACACATGAACAAATACAATAATTCATGACGATCGATCAATATAGTGTGTAACTTTAATATTAAATGTCCATAAAATACTTTTGTTACGGAAGTTTATTGAGATCAAGGAAATGCACCACGTTTTGCTGTAACCCCTTTCACTTGACAAAGGAATTTAGTCCATTCTAAAAGAAACATCAACTTTTTATTCATATTGTGCTTACCTATCATGTGGAGGGAGGGCCTAAAACTTATTATGCATGTATTTTTTCTGTGTTAACACCAAAATGTAGTTTATATTAATATAAAAAAACAATTATCAGTATTTTCAAATATAAACCTTAAGCATTGTGTATCAATTAACTTTATATTTAATTAAAAAAAAGTGAATGTTTTACACTAAATGCTTCATGATTGATATGTTACTAGTCTTCCCTGTATATATTCTACCAAAAGGTGTTGATATACGTATAAATATCAAAACTAAATAGATAAACAGTTTTTATATTCTTCAGAAGCTGACTTTCGTGGCACATAATTATATTCTAGAAAAATACGTTTTAATGATAACTATCATGTATGCATAAAATGATAATGAATTCGTTTATTTCTTTATAAATGTATAAAAAATATCACTGTAAACTCATAACAGTCTTTTACGCTGTACGAGCCTATCTGGATATTAAAACAAAATTTGAAAATATGCATGCCTGTAGTCAACTATGAAAAGACTTTCTAGACTTTCTGTTTTGCAGTGTGATGACTATGAATCTAATTGCTTGTCTTTTATAATTGTATATTGATATTTACCAATATATTCTAATGATAAAAGTTTGCACATAATCTGGAATGTTATGAGATCGATCTGCTAGAACGATCATATAGAGAATCATTACACGCTTAGATAGAATGATATCAATGTAATGAGATTTTTTGTAGACAGTATTCACAAACATTTCACTTTGGAATAAACATAATAGACAGGTAATGACGTCATTTTATTTGATTGACAGGTGTGCTGGCTTACTTACAATAGCATTTTTACCAGATAGAAATTTTAAGTTTGTTTGACCAAGATTTACTTGATCCTTGCTTAATCAATAAATTAAAAACGCCAATATGTTTTAAATATTTCGTAAATAAAAATAATTACATTTATATGAGAAGAACTCTTTCAATGACATAAAAACTTATATAATGCAACCATCGCAATTCAAGACTAGTACAATGAGATAAAATATACAGTTAAAACTGTAAGAGAATGTTGATTCAAGCTGTTTACGCATCCGTGTGAAAATAAGCAAATACGTCATGTTCTCGAGAGAGTTGATGTTTGAATCATAGCAAATCTAGTACCTTTGGAACAATAACATTAAAATATCAAAGTAACATTGTGGAAAAATAATTAAAACTCCAATCAACTTAGCAAGACATTGAGTATGTTTGCTTTAATCTATGTTAAATTATTTGCATTCAAGATATGTTTTGTTATTGACCACTTTCCTTTACATGTTATGAAATTTTTTTTACAAAATGCTCAGTTGTTAGTATTTGCATTCTTGAAAATGGTGATTTTTTAGTGTCTTTTTATACCTCGTAAAAATACTGCCATATTATATTATTACTAATATTTATTCAATTCTATATAAGAAGAAAAGTGGTGAATCTATTATAGAACAACACTTATAAACATTTTAACATACTGTATTTGAATGAGATTTTTGTATTTTGTAATATGTTATGATGTTTTAATAATCTACGTGTAAATTACATAAACAGTTATTGATAAATGTTGCATATTTTCTTTAAAGTTTGATTCAGACGTTGAAGTTTCACAATACTAGTAACCTTACTCTTTTTATCTCACATGTCTGTGCATGTAAAGTAAATCATATTAATTTTTATATATTATTCGAAGAGGCGAATGCGTTTACCTACATCGCGATGATTTTAGGTTTTAAGATTTTATTTGCCAGGAAATTTGCAATAGGTTTGAAATATATCCAAATATTATCTCGGATTTTATCTAGACTATCAAATCGCTTTCAAAAGCAAGTATATAAAGTGTTAATACCAATAAAATCTTTAAAAAAATCATTTTATAGAATGCTTAAGATATATCCCTTTTTTGTTCTTTTAAACTTACTATCGTTTTTGTAATCATTTTCAATTAAGTAAGTTTTCAAAATAAACCTGTCTAATTAAGATTATATCATAAATTTAATCCCTTTTACACCTATTTATGATCTATGTAAAATTTTACAGCAGTCAAGGAGCATCGTAAATATGTTTTATTAGTGTAACAATTTATTAAACATTAATAAACATAGAAGGGGGCACTTTGTCACGTGACAGAGATTTCTACACGTACACAAACCAGTTGATATTTTAATGAAGAGAAAATCCTTGACTAAAATAATTTATTTGTACACAGTGTAATATGTTTGGATTAAACTTGTCTAAAATATATATCATGATATATGAAGGGTTTAATAAGCGATCCATTGAAGATGAATTTCAATTTGTGCAGGAATGCATACATTTGCAGATCAACGCATGAAATATATTACTAGATATTATAGATACCTAGTACGACGGATGATCCAGAAATACCAGGAATTAAGCCATAATTCTTATAATATATATTAAATGTTTAACAAACATAATATTAATGCGTAATATATCCTCTTTACAAGGAAACATGAATTATAGCAATTAAACACATTATGCTCAACATATGCATATTAAAGCAAGCTAGTAATGCGCAGTATGAACGTTGTCACAACTTTATTAGCGTTGACGTCAAAAACATACTTAAATGTAATAAATACATAAAACTTAAAAGTCATGAAAGTAAACATATTTTAAAAACGTAAATGAAAAATGTTCGAAAAAATAGTTACAATAGTTAAGTATCGCCTAAACCTTCCATTTTGTAGGAAGGGTAAGTAAAACTTTCGAACAAAAACATAAACTGATTTCTTATACCAACAACAATTGATGCATTTGATTTCAATATTCTAATTTTGGTTTATCCGCGTGTTTATATTTCATGTTCCAAATATATATACCTTGCAAGAATTACGAAGTAAATTTCATATAAAATGTCTAGATTACCTAGATAATGTAATATGTAGTGCTTCTTGGTAATAATGGGAAACTATAATTCTGAGCTTAATTCTTGGCGGGTTATCGCTCCTTTCTATACAGATTTTAGAGGCGTTAATGTCTTTTTGAAATTATGACAAAGCCTTGAGCTGTAAAAACATTTATCCATTTAACTTACGGTACTGAACTATTATTACTTGGACAAATTTAAGTTTAATAAAAGGTCTTAATTAAACCAGATGTATACAAAACACTTGGAAATACAATTCCATACATAAGATTCCGAATAATCTTTATTGGAAGAAAACAATCAAATCAAACATCAGTTCAGTCAAGTAAGCGGAAAACTCGTAGCCACCATTATAATAATAATTTACGAGCCCATTTTTTGTAGTTGTTTTTAATGTCCATTGATAACAAATGATCTGTAGTCTTTAAGCATGTATACTTTTGTTATGTCTATCCCAAGACAAAGTAAGAGCTGATATATGGATTAAACAGAACAACAAGTATAAAAAGAATAACAATGATCAGTTATTTATAATAAAACATCTGATCGGCTGATTTAAAAAAAAACAAATAAAGTAAAATAAGAGGTTTTCGCAAACTGCCACATTCCGTCGATACGTATCGACACGTATCGACGGACAGTGGCAGTATGCTATGCGAAACAAATATATGGCATATTGCCGCATACATCCATCAGCACTAAGTCATTCTGAAAAAGACATATCATACTGCCGCATACAGCATACTGCGTCGCGATAGAGCTGCACCGCTGTAGCGTTTCCCTGGCTATTCAAGGTCATCTCAAACGGTACTGGGTGCCATTAAATCAATAAATTGTTGCAATTAAATGTGTGCAGGTATACAATTAATGAAGAAAACAAAAAGAATCAGAATTATAAACAAATCCCGGGTAATTCTGGATCATCCCTCGTATCATGAAATATGTTGACTTTATGAAAACAGAGAACAAATTATTACTAAATGATCAAGCGTTTTATTTGATAAAGTCATTTAGAAAGACAAAAGTTATTTAACGGAGATTAAATTGCAATACTGCTGTATATACATGTAAATGTATACTTTATGTATACTTTATAATTATAATGGATATTATTGCCATGCATTATTTGTATGTTGTACCATGCATACGACGAAATAAATCTTCTGTTCTGTTCTATTCTGTTCTATATGCTTAGGATTTCCTTGTTTGTTTGAAATGTAATATGTATAAAAATTAAGTTTGTTTTGCTCTTATTTCACTTTGCATTGATTATTTCATATAAACCAAGAGGCTTTTACCTTTTTTCTAATAAATTGCATAACTTTAATCGGTGAACTACTGTTGTGAAAGTTCCCGTTAATATCGGAATTAGTTTCGCTTTTCAAAGACAAAATTATGACATTCACTTGTAATAATTTGTAAATGACCTCCGTTAAGTTCTTATTGGGATAAATGATCAAACAATAACAAGTCCCTTAGGAGTTACAATGACAAAATATTATTATTGATATTGTTTCTGCCACCATTTCCGTGTTATACAACTCCTATTTCTAAAATACAACGTCTTTTAGAAATATGCGAGTCGTGGACAATCACTTTAAAACAAACATTTTACGAGCAAGCCTGTATCTCAATCAATTTGATGTAAAATACGAAACTTTATTTCAAGGAAATATACATTCACTAAATTTTAAAGCATTAAAATAAATCTAAAGTGTGTGTAAGCGGCCTTGCAAAAAATCGTCATTTTACATATCAACACCAAACAGGGAATAGTTAGTGGTTGATGACGTTTAAAATCTTGCCTATGCTATAACATGACATTGACTGTATGTCCGACGCTTAATGATACAATTTCAAGGAAATTACCTGGAACATATCTTTATTCTAATGTACATGTTGTTTACCTTTTACTCCATACCGTGCTCATTTACTCCATACCGTGCTCATTTACTCCATACCGTGCTCATGACAGCAAAAAATGGCAATGTTTGACGCGGCACAGCTTATAGTTATCATTTTCTGCTTTAGTGCCGGATGACACCGACGATCATGTTTTGTTAGCATAAGTAAACAAGTGTCACATGAAATATTTATCGTAATTATTACACTGGAACGTGGGCAGCATAATATTACCGTTACCAGGTAGCCTTATTATTTGTTTTGTGGAGTCATATTGAATGGAGTCATATTGAATGGAGTCATATTGAATGATATCTTCTTTATATGTTGCATATACTGCATATACACTCGGCAATATTAGTTAAATTTCTTTTAAAAGCCCGTTGAGCACTTTGATTTTAGACGCAGTTGTTCATGTCTAATTGACCGATGAAGTATTGAATCAATATATAAACGAAAATAGTTGTGCAATAGCTATTATGGAACAGAAATTGTGCATTCAATCTTTCTTGCTTAATGACATTGAAAATTGCATTTTGCATGATTCCATCTTCCTTTATGACATTTAAACTTGCACTTAACTTGATTCCGATTTGCAGTATTTCATTCAAACTTGCGTAGTAATCAATTCTTTGATACCTTAGATATTGAAATCATAATGAATATTCGTTAAATTCGGCACTTTTCCCGGTGTTTTGAAGATTTATAATTAACTATATCAACAGACCCTTTATTCTGATAATTGTTGTTCTCCTCATTCTAAATGATTAACGTTACAAATTTCTGTCTCTGTAAAAAAAGCTACTAGTATTTCAAACTTCTAATGATTCTCAATGATTAAAATGATGTTCGATGTTTTCACTATGTAATATGGCGGCCACTTTCATTAAAGCATTCAAGTGAAGAGAATTATGATTAAATCATGATACAGATATAAAGTTTTGTTAAAGGGGATGGCGACCATTTTCTGTGCAGCTATTTTGACAAGAAAAAACATTCACACTTTGGTACCTAGCCATGACTTTTTATGTTTTTCAGTAATTGAATAATGTCATATGTTGCAAGTTAATCGCCGGAATGTCTATATTGTAATTGCAAGCGTGATAAATGGATGGTGAGTACAGTAAATATAACAGTAGTATTACCATAATACAACTATTTCGTTTACCTCTTTTACTCCACTTAATAATTTGAGTAATGCAATTTTACATAGCTTTTCATTGTTCTAAATAAACTTAATACCCTTCATAAACATACGAATTGTTCTCCTTTTTTCCGGGATTTACTTCATTCTTCAGAAAAAAAATCGCTCATTATAGTACAATGAATACATAAGGAAATATGTGATAAATACAGAATCGCTTTGATAGAATACATAAGGAAATATGTGATAAATACAGAATCGCTTTGATAGAATACGAGTATATGATGCATTGACATTGTATATCTTGTAGCAGCATTCCATTATTGTTATTAAAAGCATTTTATGCAATGATTAAATACATCATATGATAAAGTACCGAACAAAGGTTTTCTATAATTGTTCTAATTGTCTTTCCTTCCGAGTTAATAGATAAAATACATTCATTTGATTACTATTTTTCTTTTCTGTACAGATTATTTATCAGAGATTGATGAATTTGACCGATGACTTAATCTAAAGTATTTTGCTTTATGTATGCATATTTACCTGTATGAAATACAAATGTAATGAATATTATATAGATCAATATTGTTCAAACAGAATTGAGAAATATCATAATAACGCGTGCAAACATTTAATGGATAAGGATTTAGAAAATTAAAACAATAATCACCAAATTTAAACGAGGGTTACAGAATACAGTTAAGTAAACGTCCAATCAAACAAAGACTACCGTACAAAAACAGGGCATAGACGGGAATTGTTACAGATGAGAACAGCAGTGATATACCAAAACAATAATGCGATAATATACACTAACCATGAATTGTATAAATGAAATATAAGGGGAAATAATAAAGGAAGAAAATCACTTAACGAATGGGCGAGACACTATGTCTTACACATTTCCTTTAAAACTTTGAGTAAAGTATTATTCACAAATTATGTGTAATACTTTCAAAACCGACATTTCATGATTCTTATTGGGATTTAAAAACAAATTTCTAGTTCTTATTTCAGAAATATTGCACTAGTCTTTTATATACTGAAGCATGCGAAACTTAACGGCTTGTATATAAGCTCTAAACAAGTTTATCTATTATAAACAGCTTTCCTTGTAAAGATGCACGCACTACTCGAGAAAGAACACCATTGATTTCATTGGTTAAAAGCGGCGTTGTCACGGTAGGCAGATAACAGAAGTGAAAATCTGAGAAAACATTGGAAATTATTCCAAACGCTGGTTCTCGTAAGTTATTAACGGTTGTTGGAAAAAGGGATTAAAGGAGATTGTGAGTAATTGAAATAAATATTTAGTAAAAATTAGCCTTTAATAATAAAATAGGAAGAGAACGAAACGGAACTATATTATGATTTTAGGTTTTTTATATTGATATCATTTATGATTTTTACGATGAAATAATGTTATATGTAGACGCTTAATAATGTAAGATTATGGTAAAAGTATTAAAACTATTTATTATTCTTGTAATCTTATAAACGCTAACAACTTATAAAAGCTGATATATTCCAATTAAATATGGAAAATATCAAAACTATACAGCTTAAATTATTCCATTATACATTTTCGTAAGTTTCAAGCAACGCATATATTCTTATGAGCATAAACAATCTAACAAATCAGCATTTTTAAACTTTTTTTATTGTTGCCATCGCTTTCGTTTATTTATACCAGATTCTATTCACTAAGTCCGAAATATGTTGTTTGCGTGAAACTAAACGACAATGTAACGGTCATGTTGTTAATTGTCTTTACTAAAAAAGAATTAAGCACATTCATTGGAATGAAATAGAAATATAATTTATAAAAAGTACTTTTTCAGAAGTTAATGTGCTATGGCTGGACTCTAAAAACATCGAAAAATAAGTTTGTCTACGTTAGTTTGGAAGACACAATTCTTTTCTTATCATTTTAAAATAAATATGTTTAATGATGGAATAATTGTAGCAAATAATTTTAAAGATATTTTCATGATGTTAATAAATTAATGCACGCCAATTTTCACTGCTGACGATAAATGTTTTTATTTATTTCTGTATAGTTTATATTGTTTAGAGAACAGCTTCGTCTATTATTAATTTCTGTGACAGGTCATTACGTAGCAAGACTTTCTCTGAGAAGTTTTTTCCAGAAAATTGTATAAGTAAATATGTAAATCACGCAACGAACAACTGACGTTATTTGTTATAAATCACTCTCATACAACCTCTCCCATTTTCTTGTGAACAGGAAATTAAAAACTGCTTCTTACCTACAGTTACTCCCGTATCTGTATTTTTGAAAATCAGATTTGTATTTGGTTTTGTAAACAGTTCTTTCTAAATGATTTCTGCATTTTTGTTTCACAAAACAATGAGTAAGATAGAAAAAAACAGATTAATAGGAAATATATTATTAAAATAGTTGATAAATGACTTTCAAAAAATACAAGTCACATGATGCGTATACATTTCTACATAAAACACTTTATTTTCAATATACTGTACTAATCTAATCAAAATCAAAATAAGAAAAACCCATTTGCACTGTGAATAAATTAGAATTACTTATCTTTCCAGAAACCTCAAAGAGTAAACAGTTGCCTAGACAAATTGTTATCAATCTGGAAAATTATTGGCAAGACGAATCGATTGAAACGAATTAACAACAACGACACACGTTTCTAACATTTAAACACATATTTTGATATTATGTAAAATAATAGTTTAAATAAGCATTGATCATTTGATTGATGACAGATAGGACTAGTGAACTATTATAAGGAAAAAAACAGGGAATTATGGCTACAACATTTTTACCAATCGCTGTAGTTAATGAAACTGTTTCCAGTAACCACACGAATAGTACATTAGATCAAAAGTTAAATCCATTCTACTTTTATCAGGTAAGTTTTATGTAATATATTATAATATTTACCTTTATAGTAAATTCGATGTGACGTTGACAATGTAAATCCAATTTGACATTGGCAATGTTAATTCAATGTGACTTTGGCAATGTAAATGCAATGTGACATTGGCAATGTAAATGCAATGTGACATTGGCAATGTAAATGCAATGTGACGTTGACAATGTAAATCCAATGTGACATTGGCAATGTAAATGCAATGTGACTTTGGCAATGTAAATGCAATGTGACATTGGCAATGTAAATGCAATGTGACATTGACCATATCAGTGCAATGCGTAATTGACAATGTGCATGTATATTCAATGTGTTACAATGTACATTCAAATCGACATTACAAGGCAAAACTAAAATTTTGATTCAAATGGGTTGCCAAGAAAGGATCACGTTTCAAATACCATTTACACTTGAATCAGTCTGTGAGACGTTTTATTCGAATTATGTTTGAGATAAATCAAATACCAATTGCAAAATAGACATAAATTTTGGAGTGATGGTAACTTTCACTCTAGTAAGCACTGCATACTGAGGGGAAAAATCAAAATTTTAAATTGAAAAACATTTTAAGTATATAAATAAATTTCAAAATGTTTTAGCACATTTTCAACTTAAGAAAAATTTAGGACAGAAATGCATTTACGAATTGAATATTGAAAACACATTCAATATGTAAGTTAACCTATAAATCTGATAAATTATAAGGCAGGAAATAAAAATGGACAGATGTCTGTTGTCTCGTCCTTGACGATTACGACGACAGAAAACATGTTATAACATAGAACAAAATAAAACATCCTAACACGCACCTATCAGATTCCTTCTCAGTCAACTCGATAACCTTGTGTGACAATTCCTTTGCTTCATATTTGTTGTTTAACTTGTTAGTTTATAAAAGGAAATGAAACATTAACACTAAAATTAAAATGATTTTCATGACAAAAATATCACACAAATTTTAACATTATTATAATGAATATATATAATTACTGTTTTTAATTTCTGCGACGAAATTATCTAAATATAATTAACATATACGAGCATCTTTGTTACCCTTTTTATCTCAATAGATTAGACCTTTTTTAACGTTCTGGTTTTATCACAGACATTTTGTTTTTAAAATAAACACCGTTAAATCACACATTTAAGACATTGATTATATTTCGTTATGACAATAAGTGCTAGATATAATTAACAGATACATAATACTACATGTATATCTAAAATATCCTAAAATGGAAAGACACAATTAGTATTTATACATTGTTTAATGAGTTCAGCAACGAGTGCCGCTGAAATAATTAAACATGCTAGAAATAATCGATTCATGGCTTTGTGACATTTAACTTATACAAACAATCACTACCGTAAAATAACTGGATCTGATACAATGTAGGTGATAACCTATATATTTCTCTGACAGCGTAATGATAACTAAACAATACCATGATGTATTGTTAACAGACGTAAATTTATCATAAATCTAATCAAAATAGGCATAATTACTATCATTATACCATAAATGCATACCCAATGGAATTATAAAAGTAATTATAAGACTACAATTTTTGAAAAAGAAGTAAATTATTTAAACAAATATACTCAAATATAAATATATTCGATACACAATTATAGTGCAGAATATTTGTGCATTATTTTTGAATTCTGTGTTCCTAGTAGTAAACTCTTGCTTTAGCAAATATATTATCGACGATAGTTTTCAATAAATCCAAATATGCAAGTTCTGTTAAGAATACTATTGTATATCAATCACAATAAACTGTCCGATAAAATCATTCTAAAGAAATTTAAATGGAATATATATGTTCATAAAAACGTATGAAAACAAAATGAATTTTAAAGCAAATTGTTTTTAAGGCTAGAGAAAACTAAATACACATATTATATATAACATCATACCTTGCTATCAATGTTTTTTATCCATTTTGGAATTGAAATTACCTGATATAAAACTCTTGCGATAATAACGTTTGGAAATAATAAATAACGGCTAATAAATTATACGTGTTATATTGTAATTAAAGTAGGTTAAATCTCATTATATGTTTGTATTTATAAAATACTGACCGATGTATTATAACAGCATGTACAAGTTAAAATTAAAGTATGTTCTATCAATAGAAATTGCATGTTTTAAAAATAATTTGCCCGGTTGTGATAAATTTAAACTAGTACACTTTTTGTAATAAAGTAATTCAATTACTATAGTTTAAATGAGATTAGGTTCAGTACACAGCTGTGTTCTCTAATATGACAATTAATTAAAAAAATAATGATATAAATAACAAAATGTCCGTGATCTTGCTTACATATCTTTTTATTTCTCTTAAAAACTATTATGATTTTTCACTCTCGTCTATTTGCTTTTGTTGTGTTTTTTTTTTTCTTTTGTAAGAGAAGCATATAGAATTGCAAAATTATTTTTATCATACTGTAATAACAATACAAAATATTGTAAAAATACATGAAAATTTGATATCAGAGACTTAGAAAAAGAGTAACAGGTGTCTATGAAAATTGATGGTAAATTTTCAGGTTTCTTGTAAATTATAAATGAAGAAGAATAATTAGACGGCACACTTATGCAAATATCTTATCTTAAGCGTCGATATTTTCGATAATTGAGTGCATGGCTCTCTGAAAATTAAACAAGAAGAATAAATAGCATATTAATATTGTTTAAACAATAAATGATACTATAAACGTAACACAATCAGTTATCAATTAATGTAGGAGTATTTATACTTATATATAATTCAATCAAGTTTCAATAAATGGAGACAATACATAGGTATTATAAACTGTAGACCTAATTATAAATCATTAGTATCACTAGTTATCAGTAAATGATGACATAACTAAATAATTATAAGTTTCAGTCATAAAGATGATCGATTATGAGTAAAAAAAAAATTCTCTAGCTACCATAGCCTAAATAACAGTTGTGTGCACATATATGCACATGTACAATGATTGTTAAAAACAATGTTGCATTCTTTTAAAACACATTAAAGCAACAGGTTGTGCAACAGATTCTTAACACTTGCCTAAGTTTTAGTGATTACATTAAAACATAACCTTCATTTAATTTTCTTACGTCTCTAGAAATTAAGGTCCGTATTGTTTTGTTTCTGTAACCGTTGATGTTGGTTTAAAGTTACATGAGCGGTAACATGCAAAATATGGAACAATTCATTTGTTACTTCTTCCTTAAAAGTAGGGATACTATTATTTAAATTGTATTAATGCGACCGGGTGGTAAAGTTAAGTTAAGTCAAGTTATTTGAGTACATTTGTGTGACAAGTTCAGTTAGAAAGCTGGTTAGTGAATTTGGGTTTACATGCATGTCTCAATTGTTATAACTAAATAGTTATTTTAATTGTATTGTTCTAACATAAAAACAAACGAATAATAAGGTTTTATATTATTAAAATCAAAATATTTGAGATAAGAGGGGCGCAACAGAGTTCTTTACTTACTGAACGGGGCTGGGACTACTTTTTATGATAAATGCTCCATTTAATGGATGTCTAGACCAATAACTTATGTTCATTCGCTCTCTCCGTCTTTCTACACAAATTATTCTTATTGTGAAAAATTATCCTCAATTGAAAACCGTTGCAATACTTTTCACTCAAATCACAAATATACGATGTTTGGTTATATTTTTTTATAATTTTGTTCATTATCTGTTGCATTTTTTTGCGTATCCAGCTGATCTATTAAACATAATATATATTTTATGATTGTATGCTTTTGACTTCAGTGGAGGTCTTGTAAGACTTCTTAACTTGATCATAAGTTTGTTATGTTTTGGAATGTACGTGAATTGCTTTCACCCATACCCTTTATTAAGCAATTCTAACTTTCCTCTACCGTATATTAATAGTAAATTCAAAAAGGCACTAATTCCTGTTAATGTTATATCGTTTTCACATGTTTATATAAAAATATTATAATATAATAAGTTATATCTTTATCTGTCAAGATTTTTTTTCTTTTTTATCCAGACGGAAGAAATTGTGTTCCTGTCGTTTTTGTTTTTCTTCATTGTTATTGGAAATTCTATAGTGCTACTAGCACTTGGTTTGTCGAAGCGCACACACTCAAGGATGCATTTCTTTATCATGCACTTGGCTCTAGCAGGTATCGTGGATATAGATATGTTGTTGTTTTGTTGTCCATACCGTATAGCAAAATGTTTATACCAAACATTTTTGAGTTTGTCCGTTAATTTTAGAAATGAAAACATATGAATATATTTCGGTAAAAAAACGCATCGGTAACAGCATCTTAAAAAAACATCAATCCAATTATTACTGATTGAATTCAATGTTACTTAAAGTACTGTATATATCAAATGTAAACCTTCAAATTGAATTCATTGAAGTCTTGTTTTTTTATTTTAAATAAATATGAAATCTACCTTGAAACTATTATTAAAGAATTGCAAAATAAAAAAAAACATATTTCATGGTCATTTAAGAGACAGCCAAATGAATATAAAATATAAAACATATATAATATATATCCATCAGTAAATGCTGTTTCATAATTGTTTTCTTCAGATTTATCAGTTGGTCTCATTACTGTATTAGGTGACCTCATCTGGAAAATAACGATAAAATGGTATGCTGGAGACGTCATTTGCAAAATGTTAAAATTTGCACAGGTGAGAAAAGCTAAAATGAAAAAGAATCATAGACAAAAAATGCTTAAATTGGAATAAGTGAGACAATCTAAGATAAAACAGCATTGTTAATAAATCTATGTTCTTTTTAACATAATATAAAATAATAGAAGCATATATTATAATAGAAATTTACATTTTGTTATTAAACGCTTACGAAGGTACAATACAAAAATCAATTTATAAGCTTATTAAAAAAAATTGAAAATACCGGATTATGCAAAACACTCAAACAATGCACGATTTGATTTTCAGGCATTTGTTATGTTTGCTTCGTCATATATGTTAGTGGCACTAAGTATAGATAGGTATGATGCCATTGCAAGACCACTGTCTTTTTCCACCACTTGTAAGTAACATTTTTATAGCTATTATATTATTGACTTGATAGAAAATAAGCGTACTGTAACGTTTGCTCTTGAAAGTCAACTACAAGATAAGTTATCCAACGATTCAAATTAGCTTTTTATCTTCATCAAATATGTCTTTTAATAATTTATGTAAAGGAATGTTAATTTAAAAAAAGTAGAAATGAAAAATCACCTATTGTATGAAGTCATTGATTTTTTAAGACAGTTCGTAACAACAATCCTGAACGGTGTAATTGACACTGAATTTTCAAGAACTCGGTGGTTTTCTAAGTGACATGATTGTTAGATAATGAATTTATCTTCTGACCGATTTTATGGCGGATCACAGCTTTTAGTTTTGGTTGATTCTTTCTGTCAAAGCGAACAATTAGGAAACATCAGTTCATGTGAATTTAAAATCAACTCTTTAATACAAACAACCTTTCCAGTGAATGAACCAAAAGAGAGAGAGAGCTCTACATACCAAATTTTGATCATACATATTTGTGTAATTTAAGGGACCCGATGCAAAGTTCTTGTTGGTGTAGCTTGGGGTCTCTCTGCACTATTTTCTGTACCGTTGTTTGTATTTTCTGGAGTTCCGGAGGGCACGTTGGAGTGCTGGTTACAGTTTCCTATTGACTACGATTGGATATGGTTGGTATGTGAAAACATTCTTTTACAATCATTAGATGTAAAAACAGCTACTAAATATCCTTAATAAAGTCGGTTTTAGTTCATTTAAATAAAATCCTTTTCCGACTATACTTCTATACTTTTTACCAATTTCTTTAATAAAATGTGAAATGTAATATTTCATTGTTTTCTTTTATACAGGTGTATTTTGTTGGGGTAATGACAGCAGTTCTCATATTGCCTGCTTTGATAATTGCCGGGTGTTACTTGCTAATTATCCTTATTATATGGAAGAACAGTCATCTTTTAGAAACCACCAGACCTAAGCAAGTTTATACCGCAGAGAAAAAATTCTTAGTGTCTTCATCTCATGACATTGCTGCAAATAACGGTAGTATGACTACTTGCCTATAAAACGTTCTAATTTGAAAAACAGCATGCTTTATTGTTCTAAATAATTTTGAAGATTTCTTTCCATTATGTAAGACATATTCATAAATGATATGTAGCAGTTGTATAAATCTACACTGTTTTTAAATATTATAGCAAAAAATCGGCTATTTTTCCATCTTTTACCCATGTCATAACGGGAACAAAACAATGTGTTAACATAGTCACGCACTCTTATTAAAGCCCGGTTTTACCTATGCGCAATAAACAAACAAAAGAATGACGATTTCGCCTGTTTGCCGAAGAGTAATGCGCTCTTGTTATAATGAAATTATTTTTGTCGAGGGCCTCAATCGCATAACGGCGAGCAGCATTCAAGTAACAATGCCGGAAATACGGCGTATAGACATCGCCGCTAATATTGGTTGTCGCCCTTTCTAAGAAACGGACAGTTGTCAATTTAAACACATATCTGTCATAATGTTTAGTGCCTGATTTTTTTATGAACTTGTGTGCTTGAAAAAAAAAACGATTCTGATGTCACTGATCTTTTTTCTGTCAATCTGGAATCATTCTAGGATTCTGACGGTCATGTTTTGACTTGGGTAGAGTAATTTAATGTTTTTTTCTTGACTTAATAAACATCCAATGTTATGCTTGCTAAATCAATTAAAATTCGAAATTTTGTTCGGTTCTGAGCACCAACCGTTCTTTGGAACTCTGCACACGTTATAACACGGAAAAACGTGCGTTAATCCTATATATAAATTGACGGATAACAGATTTATCTATAATAATTATAAACGATATTCTCATTGAAGAAAAAATCAGGACTATTATGAATAATTGATAATAAATGCATATACGAAATAATTAATAATGACATGCTCATACGAAATTCTCGTTTTACTAAAGGTTGCACCCCAACAGGTTCTCCAAAAACAAATAGAGTAAGAAGTGGAGTTAGCGGTGGTCGCAGTTCTAAAGGCATTATTCCACAAGCAAAAATTCGTACTGTCAAAATGACATTTACCATTGTATCAGGTATACTTGACTTTATTTTATGTTATTAAAGTTAATTCGTTATGCGGATTAGATTTTACCGTAAGTTAAGAAAAGATCATTGTTTTGTTAGAAAAAACGCTGGAAAGATGTCAATACATAAGAAAAGCAACTCTTTATGAGCTCTAAAGGGTATATTGTAATTGAATTATGTATTGGCCGGTCACATCGTGTGCGTCCGATGCTTTCTTTTTCATTTGAAATTTTATCTACGGATATACATATTTCTTGGCAGAGGAACATAACAAGAAAAGTAAAGGTGTGGTTAAAATATTGTTAGTACTTACTGCATGTACTAAGGTCATATATAGGAGTGTATAAAAATCCAGCACGTAAATACATGATATGTAGTTAAATGTATGATAGTATCTTTATTCTGTTATTTAGGTCATATTTGACCGCCTCCGTGGTCGAGGGGTTAGAGTCGATGACTTCTAATCCAGTTACCTCTCTGGCGTGGGTTCGATCCCCGGGAGATGCTTTGGTAGTTTAGCGCGGAGGAAGGTAGTTTAGTACTGGTGTTACTCTCCAGGAACGATGGTTAGGAAACTACCCGCCTATATGACTGAAATACTGTTGGAAAAAGGCGTAAAATGAAACAAACAAACAAACAAACAAATGTCATATTTAAAGAGTTTACTGAAATATAGGAAACGTATTTTTGTTCTTGATTTAAATCGTTTTGTACAGAAAACTACAAAATTTAATTTATTACACAAGAGCAAAATGTCTTCATTGTTGAGGGTCACTGTAGGCACGATTTATTTAATAACGTCAGACTTGTTTGTCCTCATATTATTGTTTCAAATTTAAAGTATTATCTATGTTTGATATGGAGATATACCCAATATGTCACTATGTTCATTTCCATTAAACATAAGTAACTTTATATTTTACTTTATAACACACTTTTATTTCTTTTTTTTCACAGCATTCATACTATGCTGGAGTCCATATTTCATATTCAACTTGTTGAGCGTTCTTGGTATCATTCCTAAAACACAGGCCACTATAGCTACTCATACGTTTATACAGAGTTTAGCGCCATTAAACAGTGCAGCTAACCCAATAATATATGGAATATTCAGTACAAGAATTTGCAGGTATTTGAGGTGAGATGAAGTTGTATTTATTGTTCCGTTTCTGTTCCCTTATTGATTATTTTACAAAATGTAGGAGTAAGAACTTTTATTTGCAATATCAAATATCCCTTGAGGATGCTGTTTTAATTATTTTGCCTGGCTTTGATGATAAGGTTTATAAAATTTATATTCAATAATGATAGGTATGTATTAATATAGGTGCCGTTGTTTTATAATTTAAAGCAAAAAAAAAAATATAGATAAATCGTGCAAATACGTCAGTTTTAAATATTTGATATTTACCAGGAGAAGAGACGCTAGGTTTTCTAGTTTTACAATGGAAACAAAACGTACTATCATAAGGAGAGATGGTAAATCCTAATATTTTGAATGTGTAGCTCATATCTTTAACCTTTAACCTTTTAACATATTTCCTTAACACTTTGTTCATTATCAGGCTTTTAAATTAGTAAAGAACAGATAGTTTTCTGTTTTGTTGTTTTTGAAATAATATGTTTTCTACTAATATCAAAGCAGTAGATTTTAGTTTATTTAATTGTTTGTCTCACACATTGTGGATATCATTTTTACAACTATAATTATTCATTATATTATTTAGATATATATGTCTTTACTGGATTAACTATAATAATGTTATTACTACTTTACTAAATTTGGCTTATACTCTTAGAAAAAGTAAGTGTTCGGCATGCTCCTTTTACAAAATATAATGATGTTCACTATTATATAAAAAACTTTCACGGTCACATGCTTGAAAATAAACTAATGTATAATGCACAAATTTCAAATGCATGTGCAGTCCTTTTCAGATCCAGAAATACACAAAATATTTCTTAGATTTGTTTAATTTTATAAATATGTTATTGTCTATGGATTATATAGCCGTGGAAAAAATAACTCGTTTGATTAAAAAACATTGATAAAGAATGCAAAGCATATGTTCACTTGACAAGTTGCAACATTAAGAACATTAAAGTATTTTAAGTATATACCAGAATACAAACTCGTAAAGTTATCATTTTGTACCGGAATATAATTTTACTCTATTTTACTTTATAGACAATTAAGAATGTTTCGTTGGCTATCCTCCTTTTGTTGTTGCCAAGATGGTCAAACACCACGAAGTTCAGGTTTTTCGGAAGTTTCAAACTATACTGACGCATGTGGTGATTATATAAGGAGGTCACCGAGGATTGTAAGCGAATACCCGAGGAGATCACCGCGAAATTCTGAGGATTTTTTATGTAAACCACCAAGGACAACATTGACTACTAATGACACATGTTCCCTAAGAACACCACATTATGTAGCGATTGGCGAATATTCTAATAAACGGCCATTACAAAATGGTAACAATATTGAAATGTGTGACTTCATACTTATTGCCGTAAAGCGGGATGGTAAAATATCGTAAAGTGTATTATATTGTAATTATTGCTTTAGTTATGAATGTTTGCCTTATATATTTATTTAAACATATACATATTGTACAATAACAGAATCGTACATACTACAGTTGTTCTAATGTACACTTTTCATTTATTCTGATTTATCAAAACCATTTTGACATTTATGTGCATGAAAGACAAGTTTTGATGAATGGCGCTAAGCAGATGATTCAGTTTGAAGATTTTGATACATTTATCTATTGAAAAGATCAGATATGTAGAATTTTTTTAACATTGTGTCATTGGCCTTAGCTTTATAAGCTAATGTTTATAAATTGTTTCAATGTAGATAAATATTGCAGCTTATTTAAAAATCTATGTTTATGGTTTTTCTGTAAATTTATTGATAAAAGAATGTTCGCGAAGTATCCTGTTAGTAGTAAACTCTTCACATTAGCTTTAATATTGCTATCACCCGTTAGATTTAATCGTCAAATTATTATAGATGCTTCAATATATAGACATCAACTTTAACGTAAGACATTATAATTAATATTTGATGGAAATAATACAATTACTGAATACATTACTGTAAGAATTTCGAATGTCAATAGCTACACAATTTCCTATCACAAACATTTAACATAAAAAGATCCATTTCCTGGAAAAGAAGTAATACAAATAAATTCCTTACACAGAGAAGTTATATCCAATAAAAGTTTAAGTCACAATAAAATGTTTACGGCTTTCTTTTGGTAAGACAATCGAGCTGAGAAATCCTACAGGCACGACAAATACATTTTTCCTCAATTTTACTTTAATTATTTTGCAAGACTACAGTGTACATGTTTTATTTGGTCTGTTTGCAAACATTTGCATACATTTACAATCAAAAAATGATAAATGCAAGACAAAATAAATTTACACCAAATAAAATATGTGTGGTTCAGGTAACATGAATTAAAAGTATATGCTGCTGATGCAGGTGATATATAAATACTGTGTGAAGATCAGGTACAACAGAAGGCGACTGACCACTAGTAACTCATTATTGAGCACACAGTGCTGATGTTGGTTAAAGTGCACAAACACAGAAGTTTGATAACTATATTTTGAAGTCTCCATTATTATTAAACATAATAAGCATTGTCCTCCTTTTTTATTGAAGAAAATAAGAATCCACATTCTCTTCTCTTTAAATTTACATAGGGAAGTTATGAATTTGACAAAACTTGGAAACTATGTACCATATAAAGAGACTCATAAGATTGGAAGAGTAAATTCCAAAACCAATTCATTGAATATGTGAGGACCACATACTGACAAATAGCTAGTTCTCACCTGATATAAAAAAATATCAAAGCAATTTTACTTCATTAACTTCAATTTTAGTGTTATTACACATCTTTTAAAAAAGCATACATTCTTTTTTACATTTAATTTTTTTATCGTAAAAAGCGGTATCCTGAAAATTTGTGACATAAAAATATGTCCGTCTTCTACTGAAACATTCAAAATTCCAGTTGCTGTTGGTTGAATTTATTTGAATACTATAATTGTTTTCAGCAATTGCATCAAGCATCGTTAACAAAAAAAAATCAACTTGTCATTTATTGCACAATGTCACATCATGATTCAGTCTTAAATAGAGTATATTTGTTATATAAAAATGCGAATATTGTAATGAGTCAAGGGAATCAAGGGAATAACAAACGATTTACGATTTGTTTAAGATTCAGGAAAAAGGCCGAAAACCCCCACTGACGGCAGATTTTAGGACATGCATTATATCGGTACGTCCGAGTTCCGCGCTTCTGAAACGGTGTGTGTTCAAAATAAGAAATTTTAAGGCAAACAAACTAAAATGTTTGACATTTTTCAGCTTGAAAGGATTTTTTTCCAGGTGGAGTAGAAGTCATTTTAAAAATTACCGAAATTCAATAAAAGAAAATTGTAGGATCGGCGCTAAAATAAAGTCGATCGGGTAACCTGAGCCGCACATTTTTTATTATCTATTTACCATTATTACATTTGGCCTTATATAAGCAACACCCTCAACATTTTCAAGTCATATCTTGAGGCTTACATATAAATATAAATGACAACCATTGTTAACATGAACCTTTAACTTTAAAGCAGAAAATAGAAATTGACAAAACAGTTACTAATAAGTGTTAAATTGTTTGATATTAATAAATAATCATGAAATCGAAGTACGAAATTATACCTCAGACTGATAACAAAACTGCCCTTTTAAAGACGAACGTCCTTTTTCCAATCATCAACACTAAAGGATAAAACCAAGTATTTAGAGTATGTGGACAGAACCTAAGCAATTAACCCAACTGATTTTACTCAAACCGAGTCTGCAACGATTCAACTTCTTTTACATGGTTTGATGTCATGTGCCGTTACTAGGCCCAGCTTGTGAATGTTTGTCTGTTTTCAGCAACATAACTTGTTTTACGTCTATCATTATAACACTTTTTCTTCTTTTTGTAATTTGAAAATCAATACATTGCACAAGTTTCAGATACACTGACAGCATAATGGAATAATATTTACACTTTATACAAAAGGTTCAAGATAATATGAGAAAAAGAACGCCCGTGCAAATTACTTACATGAGTAAAGTACATTGTATTGACTGGTATTATGTTGGCATAAGAATTGTATTAAACACAAAAAATATATTATTTAGATATTATGTAATCTTAAAGTCTTGCAAGTTTATTACTCTTCGTTAGCCCCCCAGTATCTTTAAAGTATTTGTTACATTTTTTCCACATTCAGTCATGATATTTAAACTTTCGCTTTTAAAAGAATGTTGAGTTTTTTAAAGATTCATATAATACAGTATGTTCGTATTTCGCTCATTCTCAATAAAACACAGCTTTTGATGTTCCACTGGGAAGCTCTTATACGAAGGTTTTTCTTGAGGTCAAAATGTCAATAGAAAGGTGGCTGCCACTTTGTCTAATGGGGACTCTCTCAGTTTTACATTTCTATCTGTTATTTTTTACAAGAAGCATTTATGCCCTACAATGTAACATAGGTTACTGTCGCCAACTAGAATTTTCAACTTTTAAATTGTGTTTCAGAAAAATAAGTTCCAGAATAAACAAAACATGTGCAATTAGTCATTGATGTGTGTATATGCACTTTGATTATTGGTAAAAATTATATTTGACTGATAAAATCTCATTGATATAATGGATAATCAAATGTCGCCAAATGCATATAAATAAATAGTGACAAACCTAAAACAATAAGAAGTGAAACCATAATTGAATTACATAATTGAATCGATGCATGCTTAATAATACAGCATATATATAATTATAAGTAAACATAAGCTTGCAGCCACTCAAATATCATTCAATATTCGGAAATTTTCATTTTTTATTCAAATCTTTTCAACAGCATTTTAAAAAGAAACATACGTTACCATTATTTAAGAGCCAATCCATTCAAAGAATAATCCAAACAAGAAAGAAAATTAACATGTGTTTAACTCTGATATATTAACCACATATTATGGCGGGTTAAATGGTCTTGCGTCATTTTTAACCAACTTTCAATGTAAACATGAAACATACGCTACAGAAACATACGTTATCAACTTTTTAAAGTAAGTTTATCAAAAGGGAAATTGAAGTCAGAAAGCACGTATAACAGCAACATTAACTTCCATTTGACATTATTAAGTAAATTTTGTTAACTTTGGTCGAGTTTTAATTTGTTTAAGTAACCACAGTGAAATAAACGTTACTTTTATCAAGCAGATTTTATATTGTTTACACATGCATATATAAAAACATAAAATCGCATTTTTATGACAATATAATGATGTACATTTGATTCCTAAATAAAAAAGTTGATTTCTCATGTAAGTTTCAATTCCGTGATAAAGTTCATAAATAAGTGGGTGTGAAACATACGTTACTCCAACTTACAATTCAACAATTTTTGAAAATTAAAGATAAAGTTGGGATTAGCATGCCTGTTAGCAACGGTTACCTTGTATTAGGTGTAAGAAGATACAAACGTGCTTTTACAAAGGAAAGATGTATTAATAATATGTTGATGTACCAGCAGAAATGTTAAAATATATTACAAGATATTGAAGTTCTCAGCAACAACTAATTCGTTTCAGCAAAGAGCTTACTGGCCGTATTTCATTCTATATATAATAATGTTAAAATAATATCCATAAATATAAATTATTTTACAAAAAATAAAATTATTTTCTCAACCTTTACTTGCATTTGAAAAAAAAGAAACATACGTGACATCCTATATGGGGATAAATATAGAACTGCTAAGCAATAAATTTTCCAAATATTAAGAAAGTGGAAATTTGAATGTTTTGAAAAAAAAATGCTAATACAAGATTTGTGTATGCATTCGACCTCTCATATATTTTACATGATATATATCCTTTGAATGAAGACATAAAATATTCATTTCCAAAATTGACTTTTTTTGCTTTCTACGAATATTTAACTTTGGAAATTAACTGAAACTTAGCAAGGTACCCAACTTCCTTGAATATTGCTGGGTTAGAAAGTCCCTCTAGATAGATAATTTACAGATTTTGATATATTTTACAGACATTTGTTATTAATATGCAGCCAATATGTTACATTATTTGATCTGAAATCTACGTTACCGAAGAAACACAGTGTCATTACCGAAATAAATGCCATCCTGTTATATTATAGTTTCTTGTTCAAAATATTTCTGGCAAACTTGCAAAATACCCTAAACTTTTACTTCAGCGATAAAAAATGACACAATGACAACATCAAATTTTTAATATTTTTCAACCTCAAATGCTTTATTTTATTGCGAATGGGCGTAGTTTAAGTAAAATATTTTTACTGCAGAAATGTATTGAAATCTATAAAATTCTAACATTCAAACTGTGTATGGGAATCTGTGTTCAATATTACGGGTCAAGTAAAGCTGGTCATTTCTAAACAAATAACAGTTTTGATGTTACTGTTTATTCATTATGTGCACAATTGAGTGTGTCGGATCTGAAGCAAAACATATCTACTTCGTATGAAGTCAAAACATGTTTATTTTATATTTACAAAGAGACCGTTTAGATATTATCAATATTTTTAAATATTAACTTTGATCACAATATATCTTTAACACAAATTCACAAAACTATAAACGCCATTTAATCTCACAAGAGATCGGCAGGTCTTTTTCAATATAATTGCACGAAAATGATTTAATGTTGTTGTTTTTTTATTTCTTGTCATTACTTAAATGACCTGTTTTTCTCGAGATATTCATAATTATTTAACTTTTTAACGTTCTATCATATCGAAAATAAATGCTTGCAAATGACATAATCAAATGAAAATAAACATATAATTTTGTGTTTGTCATACTTTGATCATTACATTTCA